TGCTGTGATAGCCCACTAAAGACACAGACGCCATCATTAGCCCATCTCTTGACAGCATGTCCTTATAAAATCCCATGGTCCTGACCTTGCTGAACCTGCACACACACCCTTTAGACCTCATTTTCACACTCAGCCTTTCGCTCTCAGGTTCTCCTCTCATAGAGGAACTGGGAGTTTGATGACATTTTAAAACAGAAGAAACACTTTCATCTGCTTCCCTCTACAAGGCACTAACTGTCCTTCCAATGTAGTATGATGGGCAGATTGTCATTACACGTCTCGCCCAAACACAAACAGAGCTACAGAGCTACAGCCAGAGGTTAACTGGAATTGTAGAGGTCAAAGGTGAAGGAAACAAGATCTTTAGAGGGCGTTAGAATTTTCAGAACAACTAATGATCCTCTCGTTCTGATCAAATCAACGGGGGAGGAGAAAGGGGGAGGGAAATAAATGCAGAACAGCAACTGGGCTGAAAATAAAAATCAGTATTTACAGTAACTCATATTTCTATCACAGCCTCAAAGACACCAAACTAAAATCCCAGTCTCAGTTTGACTAAGAATATGAAACAGCCAAAATGGAAGTGAACACAGACATTTTTTGAGTGTAACAGAGAAGAGCGCCCTCTGGTGATAGAGCTTTAAAACCTCACCTCCTTGTACTCCTGAATCTGGCTCTGCTCAAACATGGAGAACACATTGGAGGAGCCGCTGTCTCCTGCTGCCTGCCTCCTCTTGGCCTTCTTTGGTGCCTGAAAGAGGAAAATAGAAATGTCAAAAAAGATTTCATCAGGCCTTTGAACGCAACACAGGAAATGGACGCTAAAAAAAACAGTTTTTGCCCTTAAAATTGGACAATTTCTACAAGCATTATACCAAAATGTATCTTAAATATCATTGACAAAGTACTTTAAATACGTTTTTAGGAAACATTATATTATCAAACTGCTATCATGGTGCGTTTACTGCTGCATGACCTCCTCTAATTTAATTTTAAAACATTCTATGTCAACATGCAGTGCGCACGGCATGTAAAGCCCATCTTCATCACAACTGCATCACTAAAGATGGCAGTTGTCCAGTAAATCCACACAAAATAAAATCCAAAAATGTTTTTTTGTTACAGAAATTAACATTTGGAGAAGTGGTGGATTAATCCGTAGGACTGATTAGATTTCCCCTTGTTGATATGTCCAACAGCAGCAGTGCAAAGTTGAGGGAACCCTGGTACTCACCATCTTGAGACGGTATGAGTGGAGGTTCGGTTGATCAAGAAAGACAAGATTGTGTGAAGCCGCGTTATACCTCCATCCCGGGGGGCTTATATACCCCTGCACAGGCCAATCTAACTTTAGACACAGCCTCAAGTTTGGATTAGGATAAAAAAGAGAGAGAGAGAGGGAGGGAGTGAGAAGGGGGGGGGGGGGGGGACAGGTGGGTGTTACGGAAAATGGGGGGGGAGTACAGAGAGACAGGATGGCAGCAGGATGGTGTATCACCTTACATGAGATCAGAAATAGACCCAGGAGTCTTGGAATTAAGCAAACTTGATATCTGAGGGACCCATGCCACAGGTTGGCAGTCCCACGTGGACTAATAAGGACATTCGGGACATGGATCCTTGTTAGACCGGTGGACGGTGTCTCTCCGCCCTCCTTCCTTCCACCTACATCTGCCTGCAGAGAGCTGCGGGGACTTTATTTTTGGTGCCCGATGCCCATTGCGATAGCACGGCCTGAGATACAGGCATTCTATATGCTCAGCAACTGATGCAGCTCTTTTCCCTGTATGTTCACGGGCCTGCCTTCTTATTTTAACTTCTGACAAATTAATGATGCAGACCGTGTCAAAATTAGGATTTTCCCACACGTGTCATGTGGACAGCAGCCACACTGGAAAAGCAGAGGACAGAAATGCGGATCACTATAACTTGACAGTCTTTCATTCATCAGATGGATTAAAAAACATGACACTGCACACACAGCACACAGCACTGAGGACAGGACTGAGCTGGAACCTGCACAGAAATGAATCAGTTCAAAACACAGACTGATGACAACAGGCGGAAAAAGACTTTTTCTTCCTAGTACTGGCTTTAAGTCAGACATTAAATGTTTGACCTCTTGGATCTTAGAATTCTGGTTTGAATCTTGGTGCATTGCCTGTTTTTTGTGGAATTTACTGTTGAAGAATTCTCACATTTTTAGATTAGAAATCGAACTTTTTATTGCTTTTCACAAGATTCCCTTCTTTTCAAATTAATCTCAAATGGAGTTTAAAGTAACAGTAATACTAATAACTAAATAGTAATGTATTTTCTCTGTATGGTGTTTCATTGTTACTAATATTATTACATTCAGATGGAAGACATAGGGGGAGGAGAGAGGGGAAGAGCACAGACTAGAGGGAGAGACAGAGAGCACAAGTTTGTAATAATGACATAATTTAATTTGTGTGTTTACAGAGTGAGGCTGAGACACTGCTCAGTGCACAGCGGGAAATCTCCTAGCAGTCTAGTCCTACTGTATAGCAGCATGGCTAACTTCTATCTAGGCTTCAGCAGAAAAGAAAGTATTAAATACAACTTCAATTCTATATAAATATGTATATGTACATTAGCGTGTGTCCGTGGGTGGAGCACTACAGCGTTGAGTTAAGAGATAAACTTGGAGCGTCTTTCAGGAAATGCAAGTATTTCTGCCACTGCTGTCGAGTGACAGTAAACAGTGAACCTTCGGTGGCAGTTTGTAGAAATGCTTGTCATTTCTTAGTGTCCAGTGACACAACGACCACATGTCAGACCAGTGAAAGCGTTGTTAACCTTTGACTTCACTCCTTCTCTCCCAGCCACACTGAGGAACACAGGCTGATTGGTCTCTGTCATGAACACTTTCCCTGTGCTCTGACCTGGGCTCCCCTCGTTTGCAACATCGATCCCTCATTCCCTCCTCTCAGCAAAAAAAGAAAAAAAAATCTGGGATTACTGTGCCGACTGATGGCAGCAGACATTCCGAAGTGAACATAAAAGGGACAGCTGAGAGTGACAAAAATAGCTAAATAAACTTGAGCTGAGGCCCCGAGAGCAGGACGCTTTCCTTCATTTGTTTTGTCAGATTTTAGGTCCAAATTTACCTCCAAGTTAATCTGTTTTAATTTTGAGGAACAATTTTTTAAATCTCTGTTATTGTCTAAATTTATCCGTGCACTCCGTGGCGCTGACTGTTTGTGTTTCCACTCGTCCATCGACTCTCTGACTGTCAGCCCGCCGTGACTCACGTCCCTGCTCTTTACTGCTAATTTGGATCAGACAGACACGTCTGTGTTTTCTGGGCGTCGGGAAGATAGATGTGAGTGATCTTGAGTTCCTGTTGACCTTCGACCCTACAGTTTACTGCTTCATCACCTTGTTATACCAGTTGGCTCCACTGTAGGGCTTTTCTCTTCCAGCTCAGATATCAATAAAATGTAGTCTTCACAAAGTCATTTTATACCTGAAAAACTGAAAACTGAAAGGTCAGAGGTTTGATCCCAGACATTTATTGGTCCACATGGTACCTGCACTAAAACCCACATGGGTCAAACCACTGTGAAACCGTATGGTGCTCACACACAACTGCAGGTTAGAAATAAAAAGTCCACAGCTACATTCACTTACCCTAAAACAAATCTGTGAAGTTTGACTTATTTTAATAATAATAATTTTACATTAACTGCACATCATAAACATTTGGCCATAAACAAAGTGTATTTATGTAATTTACTTTGAATTTTATCGAAAGATTTTTTTTTTTTTGCATTTTCTTTATTATAGTCTCCACTTAGTTTTATATTTAGAGCTTAATGATTTCCATTGTTCGGTTAAGTGGTCAAACTTGCAGAGTTGGAATAAGCTTAACTAAGGAATTGACTTTAAATAACAGATCGTAACAGCCGTACAGATGTGCGGACATGACAGGGGTCGTCACTGAAAGCTGACACCTGGTGGCACGCTCCTCTGCAGCCATTTGTCACTTTTTGGAGAACTGGAATGATGGTGCATAGGTTCAGGAATGTGGAGAAGCTCTGCAGCTTGACCTGGAGGTCGAACCTTTACACACACACTCTGGTGTGTTTGGACACCTGACGACGTCAGGTCGCTTTGTTTTGATATTTGACTCCACCCATCACAGAGGGACGCATTCATTGCAACTAATTTATTAGTATTGTGGCGCTGATGTCAACTTTGGTTTCTTGCTTTTACAGTGCATTTAAAATACCACAGAATAAACAAATGAAATTAATGACAACAATTTTAATTCTTTACACACATACTTATACACACATAATTACCTTTTTTATTAATATGTTGTGTTTATTTGTTTTTGTTCTGTTGACATGAAATTCTAATTTCTATGACACCACTGCACGGTCACACCTGATATTGAACTCGGTTGAGGCGAAACCGGTTTTTGTTTATCTATACCTTTCCCTGCTGTGCATTTTTTCTATTGCCTGTCTGAAGTCCAGGATCATAGTCATATAATTAGGATAATTTCTTCTAATTTTTTTTTTTCTCTGAGAAATATTGTTTATAAAAATTTAGCCAATAATTAGCCAATTATATGTCTATTTCAGTAAAATAATCCTGTTACAGTGATAGTGTGGTAATCAAGAGACAAAGGAGCCACAACATATATATACATACATATATTTAATTGTATTATTATGACACTGTAACATATAACTGTCTTATAATATTACCTTTTTATATAAGATTATATAAGGATGAGTTCTAAAAAAAAAAGTTAAATTTGAAATGGTGTCTGATTTTTTCAACCAAACCTAAATGGAAACCTCACAGTTGAATCTGCGTCATCTGTCATGTGTTGTGAAAGCGTGACACGTGCTTAGTTCACATTATGTTGTTGAGCAAAACAGCTGATCTGGAGCCTGCAGATCTATCTTCTGTTTTCCATCCTTTTCGGCACGTCCCAGAGGTCAGAGGTCAGAGGTGATCCACACTATAACATGTGTGACATATTTACAGGTATCTGAGCCACAGACTCTGAAGTCAATACTGCAAACACAGATTATACTCCTATTCACTCCCCCAGTACACATCCTCTCCATCACTGTACTATAATATTACTACAAATACTGACACACACCAAACACACTCGTTCTGAAATGTTGGTGCAGGAGTGTGAAGATCAGAACAGTTCATCAGACTCGAATTGTTTTTACCTGATTTTACTACTGATGTTCAGTCACTACTGTAATATTGTTACTTTTGGTTATATTTCCTCACTGTTATTTTGGTTTAGTTTGGTTGTAAAAAGGAGAACAACAAATTACCCCTCCCCACCCCCCCACCCCCAACAGATTCGCTGTGCTCTCACAGGATACATGAAATCTCATGAACCTCATAGATGTTGAATCGCTCTTCCTTCACTTCCTTTATTTCAGCTTCTTGCACAACTCTCAGTTCTTCTTTTTCAGCTCAGGTCGATCAGTTCTGCAACCTCCGCCCTTTCTCGACCCCTCAGCCACTCCGCTCTCACTTTCTTCACCTCCTGGCCGTAGTAGTCATGAAGTTTGCTGAATTCCTCCAGTGGATCAGAACCCACCAGGGGCCACTCGCCGTACTGGGGCGCTGGTCCGTTAATGGGCGTGACATGAGCGTTTCTCCTGAGCCAAAGTTTAGGGGACTTTTTAGCCGCCGCTCTATTTTGTGCCTGTAAAATGTTGCTGGAACTGAAACTCCTGGAATCCCGGACCGCAGTACTTGATCCTTGAGCAGGACACAAGAAGGTTGATGAGGGCTGTCTGAGGGCAGGGACAGAGGAACTGTGATGAGACTCACCAGAGCACTCTAGCTGCTGGGCCTCTACAAATGAAAAGAAAGAAAACGTCAGAAGAATAAACAAGCATTTAATATATAAGTATGATAACAAAAGAGACACATATTTAATATATATATTTACAAAATAATTTCTATCTTCACACAAGGTTCATGAGTTATTTGAAGAAAAACTAAAAACTATGATATTGATGTTGTAAAACCAATTAAAAAATATATTTTACAGTAGAAAATATTACCCAGAAGTGTACAGGAATACATGACTGACCCTCGTACTGTCTGGTCAGGTCTCTGACCAGCAGAGACAGGTAGCAGTGACTGGCCGTCAGCAGAGCTTTCAGCCAGCTCTCCTGAGTCTGACCGTCCGCTGCTGCAAATCTGTACGTCTTCAGTCCTTCACCTTCGAACACCAGAGAAAAGGCAAACTGTCCATCACACTCGGAGCGCCTCACTGCACAGCCCTCCAGCACGATGACCCCCAGCAGGTGTCTGTCAGCAGGACGCTCCTGGTAGAACAGCAGGTTTGCCTTCAGCACGAACCAGCGTCGCTGGTAGGTGGCGGTCCGTTTCTTCTACCAAAACAAGGACAAAATGAATGGAGAGTGTCCTTTTTTTTCTTTCATGACTAAAGATTCTATGCTTTTTTTCTATTCGTCGATACCTTCTTGTATAGATAGCCTTCTTTGTCTACTGGAGAGGTGCAGGACAGATAATGGGTCAGAATCTTCTTGTGGAGCTTCATCCCAGCATCTTAACACCAGAGATTGATTTGACAATTACATTTACTTATATGTTTACATCAACTGTATATTTTATCTACCTTACTTTAGATAGATAGATAGATGGATGTACTCACCTTTGTTTTAGGTTGAAGTCTTCACATGGTGACTTTTCTCTTCCTCATCACAGGTCTTCTGTCCAATCGTTGTCATTGTAATGATGGAGTCAGTCGTTTGTCTTTGTTTGAAGAAGCCAGATCCAGACGTAGTTGGATTATTTAGTTTCAGGTTGCTATACCACTGCTTCTCTCTCAGGTCCAAGAGGACCAGTGTTGAAATATAAATAACTCGACCCACTTCCTGGTAACAAAACCCTGACACCTTATATTCTCTCTCTCTCTCTCTGTTTCTCTCTCTCTCTCTCTTTCTGTCTGTCTTTCTCTCCCTCTCTCTCTCTCTCTCAGAGCAGCTGGATGCAGTCATACTGACAAAGAACTCTCACCTGGACATAAAGATGTTGAGGATGTTGCTTTCTCACTTCTATGCTGACTTTTCTACATGTGAAATCAGTTTCAGACTCTCTGAAGCAGAGAAGTGCATATTTTTAACTTGTGTTGATTATTTGAGTGTCATGGATTTCTTAAATATATCTTTAAAGGTGTCTGTCGTGATGTGTTCTGTCTATTTTTGGCCCTCTCTGATCCTTTTTATCCCGTTGGGCCTCAAGGAATTCCACATCTAAAAGAGTCCAAAGACTCACACAGCCTGTCCTCACATACCGTGGGACCTTTCATTTGTCCAACACTTCATCAAATCAGTTTATATAAACATGCTGTACATATTTGCTGAACTTTACATTATTGTGATCATCATAGAAATGTGGCAGAACGACAACATTTAAGTTTAAAAAAACAAAACAACTTTTTCTTCTATATGACATAAGCATACATTTCACTGTTTCACTCATTCACTATCTTAAATGAAATCGCAAAGTCAAAGAATTCTGTGTAACGGCTGCAGAAACTGTCTGTCATTTTATAATATAGGCAACAGCATAGGTCAAACATTGAATTGTGGCACCGACTCCAATCGGTCGGAAGAAGAAATGCATCTACCCATTCTGATAATGACAAGCAACCATCTCCACATTAGTCCACGAGGTGGCAGTAAAGTTAATGACTGGTGTTGACGTGTGCTGAAAGGTAGGAAGAAGAAGAAGAAGAGAAGGGAGCAAGGCAAACGAAACTGTACGCATTTCCAAGTTATTTGGAGTAAGTTATTCAAATCATGTTTTCATTCTTTGGTTTGATATTTTACCATTGAACTAACCGTGTATAATATCTCCACATATGTTTTAATCAGTATTCAGAAGACGTTACAAACGACGTAAACATTATGCGCGCGCTGTTGTTTGCTAACGTTTTTAGCACCGAAAGCAAAGCACATTGTGTGCGTTACCCTCACGTTCACGAATTGTTTATGGTATCCGATCTAAAAAATATGTAAGATACTAACTAATGTGTTTCCTTTTGTAGAGCCATGTCAAAAAGAAAAGTAAGGTTTGAGGAAGGGATCGGAGAGTGTGATCTGGAAGACGACCCCCCTAATAAAAAGGTAATTAGCCTAGTTCATAACAACAGATATCACGGTTAACCCATAAACAACACATATATTTGATCACTATTATTTTCTTGGCTTTTAAAGCCGAACTGTGAGGCTGTCAGTGGACCGGGTTCCAGATTCAAGGGTAAACATTCTCTTGACAGCGATGAGGAGGATGAAGGTGAAGACAACAACAGCAGCAAATACGACATTCTGGCCAGCGATGATGTAGAAGGTATGTCGTGTTGATATGTGGTTTTGTCCAGAAAGTTACGTCATTATTGATGTGTCTTTATATTTTTGCTAAATAACTCAAAAAGGTTTGATTGAACTGAAAGAAGACTTAAAGAAGTTTGAATTAGTACAAAGTAACCTGTTTTAATGTGCAGATTACAGCTTTACATCAGTAAACATCAGAAAATAAAGTTAGTTTGCATGAGATTGTGTCTCTTGAGGCCTTGTTTACTCCTTTCAGGACAAGAGGATGCAACTGTCAACTACGATGAGGGAGTTTCTATCACTCCTTTCAACCTGGATGAGGAGATGGAGGAAGGACACTTTGATGCAGAGGGAAACTATTTTATCAAGAAGGACAAAGAGATTAAAGACAATTGGCTTGACAATATTGACTGGGTAATGAATGGTTTTTCATCAACCTATTTTTTTAAGTCAAGCATGTATATGAAAAAAAAAACTTTTTCTTTCAGGTGAAAATTAAAGAGCAGCCTATCAAAAAGAAGAAGAAAGGTCTCGCAGCCAAACGCTCACGTAGAGCTGGTGATGAAGATGAGGCAGAGGAGGAGAAACAGAGAGAAGAAAAGCAGGCAGATGAAGATGATGAGGTTGAGGAGGAAGAAGAGGAGGAGCCTGCGGAGGATCCATTGGCTTCCTATACTAAGCAACAGCTGATTGAAGCTATGGTTGAACTGATGCTTCCTGGGGAGACGGTCGCTGCAGCGCTCCGACGGCTAGGGGGTCTTGGGAGAAGGAAGAAAGGAAAGCTGAGGGGGGAGAGTGAACCCACAGAGGAGGCTAAACGGGACACAGAAAAGCTTGATAAGCTCACAGCACTAGCTGACAGACTGGTCGGTGCTGGAATGTTTGAAATCTATCAGCACACCTATGAGAAACTGTCCTATTTGCTCAAAGGCACAGGCAGCAAGAAACCAGCTGTGGGGCAGAACGGGGACGATGATGAGGAAGAAGATGAACTTGATATGTTTGCAGATAAATTTGACGAGACCCATGCTGGGAAATCGGGGGATAAAAAGGACGACAAAGAAGACATAGGAGGTTGCTGAGTGTTATTTTGAGTGAGATTGTCTCTAACAGGTTAGAGCAACGTCTGTGTCTAAACCTATTTTTTTTTTTCAGTGAGTGAAGAAGTCTTGTGGGAATACAAATGGGAAAACAATGACAGTTCAGAAATATACGGCCCCTTCACCAGTCAGCAGATGCAGGTATGATATCTGGATCGTACTGACTCAAGATTAACACAGGAACATTGCAAATGTGAGCAGTTACTCATTTTTGTTTGTTTGCTTCTTATTGACCTCTAAACATATTGGTAAATCCCATTATATGTGATTATTTTACCTTCATCCTCAGTCTGACCAGGTGGGTTTTAATCTTCTTATTGTCTGTTTTTCAGAATTGGGTGGACGACGGCTATTTCAGCAGCGGTGTTTATTGCAAGAGGGTCGACCAGGAAGGATCTCAGTTCTACAACTCAAAGAGACTTGACTTCGATCTCTACACGTGATCCAGACTTTTTACTCACAGATCTATCTGTAACTAAAGCATCTGTACTTTGTTTTTAAATAAATAAGTGATGTACTTTTGTTGTATTGATAACTGGTCTGAATTTTTCCATATGTCTTTGCCACCTCTGAAAGTGGTTTTGAGAGATACTGTTAATGCAACAGTGGCAGTGACCTGTCCCCACATGAATGTTATAGTTCTATAATTCAACATAATATAATTTTACTATAAGCATAACAATGGCCAGCTCATAAAAAGCCTTTTAGAAACAAAATGGTGAACTAAAAATATTATATTGTGATGAACAGTACTTCAAAGTGGCTTTGAGTGTTCCAAATAAAGTTATTTTAAAAAGATATCTTTACAAGGTTGGGAGTTGAAAACCTGTGGGTTGTTTAAAAATACCTTAATTAAAAATGTCAGTCTTGTAACAGAAAATAAAGGTCACATCCAATGTAAAATGCAACAATCAAAAATAGTCTGTGATACAGCCTCTACTGTTTGAAATAAGACGTTTTTGTTTTGGTACTGTAGTTCCCTTTCCTACCCAACAGGGAGGGCTACAGACACGAAGGAAAAAAGGCAGCCCTCCTGCAGTATCCTTGGCTCTTAAAATTAATTGTTTTTAATGATTTCAAAATTTAATTTTTAATAAATGTTTATTTTTACTATGTAAAAGGTATATTATTTCTCACATATTGTCTACTAAGAAAGGCAAGAAAAAACAAAAAGATAATGTAAGGTTTGGCACGTTTACCCATTAAAGATTCTTGATTCAAATGAGTAATGTTTAATATACTGGGTCATGCAGGGACATAATGGAAGACAATTTTACGAGCCATTCGTCCTCGTTGTCCTATTGGCTTCTATCAACCCCATGCCTCTCCTTGACCCTATTTGATTGGTCATATCGTCACAGGCGGAAAACGGAGTACCATTCTGATTGGCCGATTTCCTTGTCTGCTTGTTAGATTTGTAAAAACGGATCCTTCGCCTGTGGTCGCTGTAGGGCGCCGCCACTGCCCGACATGTCTTGTTTACTCTGAGCTATCTTCCACTCAGCTCTAGCTTATCGATTAAGGTAAGTTTCTTTGGTGTGAATTAGCCGGACTTGACTAACTCACTCAGTGAAATTATGTATATTTACTAAAATGGTGCTTAAACGTTAGCAGAAATGACAGCCATCGGCGGCTGCGGCTACTACCTGGTACAGAAACTGAGCTCCACTTACTGCGAATGTCGGCGTTAGCCAGAACCATGCTTTGTTGACTATGCGAGGATGTGTTTATTACTTTAATTACCGAAATAACGGTTTTATTAAAAAACAGGCATTGTACAGAGGCATATACATTTTGTGGTGATTTATTGACGTTTGTATATGGTACTGTGTATATACCAGAAGCACCGGCGTTGCTTATGTCAAACCAACTGTTAGTTAAAAAACGTTCATCATAATTTAATTTACTCAGATTACTCAATGTATTGTTTTCTACCCCAATTTATTTTTAGAAAATTAGTAGAAAGGTCTGACTTTCTCTTACCCTTCATAGACCGAAGCATACGTGTGCAAAAACTGATGAACCAACGACAATGACTCGTAAAAATAATGCTACAACGCGAAGACATTAATTTGGAATAGGTGATATAAAATGCTGCCGTTATTCACAAATATCTGTTTCTGTTTATTTAAAAACTGTTCAGATCCACGTTTAAATTAACCTCCTTATTTCATGTAATCAACTTGAAATTATACAAATACAACTGCCACATGCATTGTTGTTTTGCAGTAAGTGCTCTTCCTGTCTGTACGTCACAGTTAACAAACCTCTACCCCGTTTTAAAGAATTCATTATTTGAAGGTGTAATTAGGCGACACTCTGTGTAAAGCTTCGTTTACATAAAAAAATAGACAAAACGTTATTTAGATTAAAAAAATTAAAAGGTTAGAAGGACAAGATAACGAAATTAGAACATAATTTCAGAGATTTACGTTTCCTAACTTTTTATTTGGTTAATGAAATTACTCAATGTTTTTAACATTGCTGAACTTATTTAAAATTAAAGAAGAATAATGGAGACAGGCCAGAAACACTGATGACTTACTAGGCATTTTATAGTTGCAACAATAAAAGCCAATTTAAAACATGAAAGACAAAATGAAAACAAAGACTATGAAGGGGAAACAAGCGAACAGATGGTGACAAATAACATGACAGACTGGAATTTACAAATCTAAACTGTGATGGTCATACGATGTTAAAAAAAAAGGAAAGAGACTAAGTGCTGCACTGGAAGGTTTTTGGAATAACAATGACAGGAGAATATTGTGTTTTGGAGTAACAAGAATGGTCCATAAGGCATAATATGGAGTAATTAGTCAAGCAAGTTGTTGGCAGGACATCAGAGAAAAGTTCCTAATTTAATCCCAATACTTTTTTTTGCCCTTGAACAGTGTGCATGTACAGATGACAACCAATACAGCATATACCAGCATATAACATTTGCAAACAGGACATATAGTGTCATATACAGCTTGTTGGGGCAGCAGTGGCTTGGTGGTTATGGAAGCGGACTTGGGTCTGGAAGGTTTCAAGTTTGAGTCCACCAGCTGCCAAGTTGCCACTGAGGTGGCCTGAGCATGTCACTGTCCCCATACACTGCTCCCCTGTTCACTATGGTGATGGGTTAAAAGCAGAGGTCATATTATGTTGTGTGTCACAATGACAAATAATTTACATTCCACTTGTAAACATACCACAAATTTGTTCTGGAGTAAATTAGTAGTAGTAGTAGTATAGTATAATATTGTATGGAGTATGTCTTTTATTATAAAATGTAATGTAAAAATGCATCTTTTCTGTATTTCAGACAAAAGCGTCACTAAGATTTTAATTGTAAGTGCTGTCTTCTTTTTACGACTACTTTATAAATACTTTTATGTTTTCATGTGATACCCTGCATGTTTGCCCCCACTATTTTATTTACAGAGAAGGCAGGACGAGAAGCCAGAGAGAGAGCCAGGGGATGTTGACTCACTCCTCTGATTTGCTCTCTCAGATAGTTTGTCCAATGGATGAAGACCCTATTCCCCCTCACCCTTTCTGTAGTGCACCTCCCCACAGTGTACCTCCACCACCTCTCCTCCTCCCTTCCTCCATCACTCCCAGGTATAGTTGTTCCAGCACCTTTGCTTTTTGTTGGAGTATTTTCCCTCCTTGATTTGTTTCATCTTTTTTTTTCTCTTGTATTGATCACATTCTACAAACATTTAAAATATAAAGCATCCTTCTTTGCAATTAAATTGGTCAAAATTGTGCAAATAGTTAAAACAAGTAATATGAATTGTATCCCTGTCATTATTGTAGTAATTATATTATCTTTCTTTTATATTATATTATTGAATAATATGGTTTAAAAATTCTATTCCTGGCCTTCAATTGTTTTCATCCACTGCTTACTGAAATATTGTATCTCCTTAGTCTTAGTGAAGTTTTTACTTCTCTTCAATTTTCTCAGCTGTGCTAAATATGGAGAACCACAACATAGGAGTAGTGGTCGTAGTCAAGCCATTAACGCTCAGAGTCCTGAAAAACCGAGTCATACGAACAGCAAAGCAGATCAGAAACCGTCCACACAGAACCCGTCCCCCCCTAAGAGACAAAGACTGATTCAAAGCATGGTAAAATAATGAGAAAAAAAATAGAATATGTAAGAGTAATGAGTTTAGACACTTCTCATGCATTATGTCTATATTTTATTCCACAGGTGCAAGAGTCACAGTCCAAAAGGTCTCAAGCTGGAAGTGTTTTACATGAAGAACAGAAGAAGGTTAGCTATAGAACTTTCTGCCTCCAAGTCTTCACCTAAAGTCTGTCCACATTCCTATGTCTGTGTTTTTTAGGTTGTAAATCTTTCTATGTTTATAATCTGTCTGTTGCTGTCAGCTTTTCCATAGTTCTGTGTATGGTAACACAAGAGATTGTTACAGTGCAGAGGGTGTGAGGTTCAGCTGGGTGTTTTTAATCTTCCTTCACGGTCTACTGCTCCTGACATGGATGTGTAATTGAGTGTCTTAATGTGACCCACTAATGAAAAGACTGTTGATGTTACTGAACCAACTACAGTTCATCCTCACTGAGTGCTTGCTTTACATTAGAATGAATCATTTCCTATTTTACAGGATGGATTTGGTCCTATATTTACAGCGGAGGACCAAAACAGGTAAGTGTATGACCTGACCTTTTTTAACTATTAATTGGAAATGGCTTCCACTTCCTTTCATTTTATGATTTTGTTTCTTCTTTAATTGTAGGCAAAGGGATGAGGAAAGCCAACCTGGTGTCTCTGCAACAGGAAATATCACAGAGCACGTGGTTGACTCTACCACACAGGATCATCACGTTGCTAAGTCCAACATGGAGACCTGTGAGAACTCAGCATTTGAACAAACTGGTGAAAACCCCTCCTCCCCAAAGGGATGGTTGATTGGGCCTTTAATTCAGACATTCAAGTCAAAGATTAGCAGTTTCTCAGAGATTGTGTGGAGTCCTGCTAAACTTTTCAAACCCAATAATGACCCGGACTCTACAGACTTTCCAGACAAGCTCATAGAATGTGATCAAGAGGGAGATGAACCAGCTCATGTTGAGTCAACTGGTGCGTCACAACTAGTACAAAAAAGTGAGACTCCGCCACCGGAGTCTGATGGGAATGAGCAGAGGCTTAGTGAAGACACACAAACTGCAAAACACAGCAGTCCTAAATATTACAAAAGACTTGTGTTTGAAGTGGATGTTCCTATGCACAAAACTGAACAAAGAGATGAAAGTGCAATATGGCCAACAAAAATCAATGCTTCTGACTCTGTTCCGTTGCAAGACAGCCCAAAACACTCCAATACCTCCAGCACAGCATCACAACATGATGGGTGTTCAATACTACAGCCCTCCATCAATTTCAGTTCTATGGACAAATCTGATGAAAAGAGTGCAGTTGAGAGGCCACACAAACTGGTAGTCCAGTTGAAAACGCTTCCCAGAAAACGCACAGGAAATAGATCTGACTTGAAGAAAGTCGTAACACCGCCGGTTATTCCGGTCAAAAATGGTGCCTCTGACCCAGTGTTCAATGAAGGAAATCTTTCTAAGTGGAGCTCCATCCAAGTAAACAAAGTTAACGGTGATAAGTCTTTACAGTCTTCTGTCCTAAACACTCAGCTCAGCACAGACAATTCTCACAGTGGAGGTACAAAGAATGTCGACAGCGTTGAAAATTGCGTGGAGCAGAGCCTTTGGGAAAACACACATGACATTGTTCATGGTATTGTGAGATCCACTGCGGATACTGAGCAGCTAAAATGTGAGTTAATCCCCGACTCTGGTTCAGCTACAGGCCTCGGGAGATCAAAGAGGGGACAAAAAGGGACCTGTCATTCTCAAAACTTGATTAGACCGAAAAAATTTAAAGCAAATGTATGTTCAGGGAGCATGCACCAAAAAGTTTTAGTAAACCTAGCATCTGATAGTGGCATAGTGAAAGCAGTGAGACCACAGAGAGAAGTTTTAGTCACAAATGGCCTTGTAGAGGTGGAGGACACATCAAAACCTATTCCCAGAACTGTTACATCAAGAGCTAATAGGAAAGGAAAAGTTGGACAAGACACGCTCCTTAAGACAGAAAGCTCTGACGTGATTAAGATTTGTTCTCTGGATAAAAGTTGTGGTTCATCAGAGAAAGATCAGAAGAGCAGCAGAAGCAACGCAAAGCTAAGACCTGAAGCCAAATCAAGATTGGGTAAACTTGATGTAAATGTTGACAGTATGGATCTGGAAACCACCGTGGCCATCACCTCTGTCAAAGATGACCAGGAAGGGCCTTTGTTAGAAATGATTGTCCACAATGATAAAAAGCCAAGTACAAACAAAAGTAAGAAAGCACTAAAAAGAAAATCACCAACTCAATCCAGTTCAGTGACTGAGGTCGAAAGCACTTTAAACTCTCCAGTTAGTTCCACTGAGCTTACACCTACTGATTTAAAAAGCTCCACGCCAGTTACAGAGGAGACCCTCAAAACAACCAACCGAACTACTACAAAATCCAAAAGTGGTTATAAAGGTGCAGTGAAATGTTCTGGATCAGAGGGAACTCAAAAAACACAGCATTGTACTGTAAACCTGTTGATTAAAAAGGAAGGTAAAAATAAGGACATGATGAACCCGCTTTACTTTGAAATTACCCCTTTTGAAAGTAGTCAACAATTTTCTTCCTCAAGCTCTACATATCAACTAAATTCCGAACAGTTGAACAATAAATGTACAGAAGTCACACATCAAAATAAAAACAATGCAGTTGTTTCTCAGACAGTGATTCCCGACTCTGGAGCCAGCAATCCAAGCAACAACAGTGTTTCTCGGTCAAGGTCTCATCCAAGAGCAGTCATCACTAACCCGAGGCCCAGGAGATCAGATAAAGGAAGGAGAAAGGCTAGCGGGTCACACAAAGGTGAAGATAAGACTGAGTTGGTTACTATGGACAGAGCAGATTTGTCTACTCACTCCTTGGGGAAAAAAAACCTGTTGCGCAGCTACTCGTGCCCAGAGATCCCTTTTCTCCATCCCCATGACACCCTGTGGACTACGACAACTCTCACCAAATCTCCTCATCTCAGCAAGTCTCACACATCACACCTGAACCTGGTGTTTCAAACTCCTCCTCCCCCTAACACACACAAGTTTGCGCAGCGCACTCGTCGTCACACCGTCTGCAGTCTGGAGGTGGAGAGGGAGATTGCTCCACTGTGTCTGCGTAAGGAGGTGTACCCAACCAGAAGGTCTGCTCCGATCGAAAGTGTCAACTGGCAAACATCTCCTAATATCCCGCATTCTCCAAGCAGTTCTCTCTCGGCTTTGGCGAACTATTTCCTTTCAAGTCCCCTGGCTTTTCTTTCAAAAAGAGCTCATGGCAGAGGAGCCGCCGCCAGCCGTAGCTCTTCCAGCCATGTGTCTTCTCCGTCTACCTCATCACCATCTTTCACATCCCCACTGAGCTCTACGACCAGGCATCATCCAGAAATCCTCCAGAGAAGTGACACCTCCCACCCCTCAGAATCTAACAGCAGGTTACTCACCTTTTTGTACTAATTCAATTGATTGATCAATGTCCAGGGAATTTTACTTTAAAACCAAAACTTATCTTTTTTTTTAGTGAACAAGTGTTGGAATGTGAGACTGAAAAGGGACAGGGCATCGAAGAGGATGAAGAATGTGAAGACATCAGCTCATCAAGTCAGGAATATGAAGATGCTGCTTTCAGAGAGGAAAAAGCTCTGTCAGACTCTGAACTTAAGGTAGAGGTTAATTTTCAGGTGTAAAATCTGTGCAGGTGACTGTGTGCAGTGTGTGATTGTTTATCAACCATTTTTGGTTGACATTAAAATTACAGCCTACTGCATGAGAAGTAGTTTTGATTGCAGTGCTTGATTTCCTAGACGGATGTGGGTTTTCTCTCTGTCAAACATAACCTAACAGTTGCCTGTCTTTATAGATTGTACAAAAGCACGAGGATCGAGGAAAGGTGTCGTCGATCAGAATTCGGAAAGCTTTACCCAAACCCCAGAACAATTTGACACCCATGGGCCTCCCTAAACCCATCAGGTGTGTTCCCCAGCAGATGAATGGTGACATAAAATACTAGTGAAAACTTTTAAGAGGGTCTATATTTTTGCAGCTGTTTAGGTTTTCAAGTATTTAAAGAACAGATGAAGATAAGGTCATTCTCAACAACATTAGATTTGTTTTAGTTTTCAAGAGTTGTAGTTTAGACTCTTCTGTTTTCAATAACCGTTTTCAATAACCGTTTTGTTTATTGGTCAGTTTACATAAGTGGGACAAATACTGTCCCTATCAGTCTCATCCTCATACGGGTCAATACGTCTGTCTATGTACATACTCTGTGATCAATACTCAGACAGACTTGTGTTTGTTTTGTTACATCCCACTACAGATTGAAGAAAAAGCAGTTTAGTTTGGAAGAAATTTACACCAACAAGAATTTCAGCAAACCTCCTGAAAGGTAAGATCGACTCCAGACTCCAGACATAAATAGAATACTGTTGTATTTTTCTTACTATACACAGAAGTTTAAAGTTTACAAAAATATTAGTTTTTCAAATGGTTAAGGTCAGGGAGAAATCTCACTTCCATGTGACAAAAAAAAGATTAATTCACAAAACAACCTTCTTAGAACGAGCCAACAAGGCAATTTATAAAGCTAAAGTATTTTGTTCATTTGTATTAAACCTGCTTAATATTAATTTGTTGCACATCTATTATAACTAGTATCATGTAGCATCACCAATACTTCAATACAATACTTAATTAAAAACAAACAAATGCTCCCGTCTTTGTCACTGATGTTACATTTTTGACAATAGTGATCTACTCAAAATAAATATCCATCAAGACGATGAGACACCGAAGCACTGTCGGAAAAATATTACAGTCAGATGAATTAGTGATATCGCTGTTGGTGCATCTCCTAAATAAAACTGCTGTTGTCACTGAAGACACAACAAATCATTACTTTTTCCATAGGGTGGCAGCAGAGGACTGTTTGTGGTTTTCCTGTGTCAGATTCCATATAATGGCCAAGTTGTGCCTTTCAGCCATTGTACATTATAATTAAGATTTTTTTGGATTAATTATTATTGCTCATATGTGTTGACCACATTTCAGCCGATTGGAGACGATATTTGAAGTTCCTCTCTATCGCCGAAATGGTTCTGAATCCTTGTTCGGACAGAGACGTGTCAAAAGGTTCCTGGAGTTCCTGGATGTTGGTGAGGTCCGAAAACCAAAGAAGCCTCTGGTTGGTGTTGGGAAAGTGGTTACGACATCTTCCAGGACACGAAGAGGGGGCTATGCTAAAAAAGAACCGGTTGTGACCGTGCAGGATGTGGACTCGCTGCTGTGTGCCAAACTGGATCAGCTGAATCTGTGGCTGATACATGATCAAAAAGGCCGCTGACGTGGTAGTAATTTTGCAGCTGTTTTCTTCTATCTCTATTGTTCAATGTATTTTCTACAGTTTAATATGCACAATCAATATTGATGGGTGACATTTTTATACCATAAGGTGTAGTTTCCACATTGGTACAAATGCATGTTCTGATCCTGTGGAAAGAGGAAAAAAAAATCATAGATGACAGGGAACACTGTGTCTAACAGCCAGATGTTTTCTCAGTCATCTGTGAGGCCTTGTTTCTCCCACATATAGTATTCATTCCTTCAGCTGAAGGGTTTTATCCTGATTTTGTGGCTTTAGTAAACTTGACATGTTGAATCTGCTCATCATTTTGGCATTGCCTTTGTGGAGGTACATTACCCTGCCTCTCCACAGGAGGGTGAGATCGGCTGTCTGCCTTTTTTTAAACTTACAAAACTTACAGCGTTAATGAAGCTATCAAATGACCACTTTGTAAATCAGACACTGCAGGTATTAAAAGTGGCGAAGAAGGAAAACTACTGATACTTCACTCACTCATGACATTATATTATTATTATATTGTTGTTATAATTATGTAAAATAATCCACTCCCACCCAGAATCATAAATATCTTATGTCTTAAAAAGTATAATGAAAAGGCAGCTGTTTTTCATTTATGTGCAGTACATACAGCTGCCAGCAGGAGGTTTGTCTTTGCTGGGTTTGTAACCCCAAAGTTTATGCACAGTTGTTCTTTAAATGGCAATGATCTGTGGATAATTCTTTTCATGTTGATACATTTATGGCTGCAGAGGGTTTACAATTTAACATGTGAAGAATGTGACACTGCAGGGCTGTTATTACCTTTAGCATGGAATAGAGTCCGCATTGTAATTCTGGTCCTTTCCACTTCCTGTGTATCTCTCATGTCTATAGTTGTATTTTAATGTAACTTGGTAAACCGCCTGTATAGTTTGTCTTTTCTTGCCAAATTTGACAGAAGATGCCGTTACTGTTAAATTTACTATTTAAAACAGTGTTTTATAGATATTTGTAATTCTGTAAATCTGTTTTTGTCAAGATGTTTGAAGCAAAGTAGCACAAATGATTGTTTTTTTATTATAAAATTGTTTCTGTTAAATGTTTTGTATAAAAGTACAGCATATATACATTTGACATTATTAAACCTAATATGTAAACAGGGCAATTATGCCAAGATAACCTTGGCACAAGAGCTGCACGTTGGAAGCACTGCCTCCGTCCCAGACGTGGCGTCACATTTCCTGTACAGAGCCAGTCCTTTGTCAACAAGAGGTTCTCTTTTGTTAAATTTAAAAATGATCTTTGAATTAAATCTTAGGGACTGGCTGTGTACTGGGAAATGACCATTTATACATGTCATGTTTTCTATGTACTGCTATAGTTTAAATTGTGTATATGTTAATAAAATAAATATTTCAGCTTGTAGGAAAATTGCAGTGTGGTTTAATACTATTTTCTTTGTTAGAAACAAGGCCTGGTAAAAAGAAGAAGTATAAAATGACAAGGTAAGTAAGCAGAAAATGCTGATACTCAATGTTATATATATATATATATATATGAATACATGTAGTAAAGTTTGGCTGCTTTGATCTTCCTGATTATAGTTTCTCAGTCTTTCAGGGTCAACAGATATGACCCCAGTGTCATCAGTATGGGAACTGCTGCCAAACATAAAAACCATGTTAAAATAGAGATGATTCCGAATTTTCTTGCTCGTTGCGAATACTTTGCTGCGACTATTTGATCTCCGGCCTCCTCTGCCTGTGCAATTAAACAGAAAAAAGATATCAAAATTAGAATAATAAGTTACAACCTTACAAATCTAGTGTACATGCCATAATTGTAAAAGATGGTTTAAGGTGGTGAATAATTACAACATGTTAGGACATGTCCCGCTGAATTCTCTCCCAGCTGTGTTTCATTTTTTCAAAATGAAACCTGTTCTGATATTGCATCAGTTTTAAAAATCTTTCTGGAAAACATTTGAAAGGAACTGAACTTTGGTTGTCAGACAAAGCAAAGAAGCAGGATGTACAGTATGACCTATGAAAAACACCTGCCAAATTTCTAGAAAAGGAAGTCTTTATTTATTTATAAAATAGCGTTTTCATCTCCATAACCTTAAGGGGGTCAAATTTGGTCTGTATAATTAAAATGGAGTCTACAAATAAAGTAATTAAAGTTAAACAAAGATTGGTCTAGACATTGATAGACTATGGCCAATAATATAAATAAACATTGGTCAAAAAATAACTGAAGGTATTATGAGTAAATGCTAACTATTTTCTAGAAATAGTTTTAAAACCAAAAGGCTTACATAGCTACACATTGGCCAGGTGAATTAATGGCAGTCAATCAAATAAAGAACATAAAGCTAGACTTAAAAAATCAATCACCTTTACTGAGTTTATTAAAGATTTGATCCCGATGCAGCTGCATCCACAGATGATGCTGCAGATGGCCAGTCTTCTGTAGTGCTGGTCTGTAAAGAAGGACGCTGCACCCCTTTTCCCCATCTTGCTGCTCATGACTTCATCCTCTGAGCCCCCCGACCCCGGTGTGGTGTTCAGTGGAATATCCTCCATTGTTATACATGCTTGAGGTGGGCTTGACATCTCTGCAACACATAATTTCATGATATTTGTTGGTATTTGTTTTTCACAATTAAGATAAGTCATTATCTATGGAAAATATAAATGTTTTACATTGTCAGGTTTGTTTTAGGGACAAGAAAAGTTTCTGTTTTTCCTGACTTTTAAGGACAAAACCTGCTCAGAAAAAAAGTATTTGCTTAATTCAAGTATCTGCAACGGTAAATGACTTCAGAGCTTTTTATTTTTCAGTGGAAAATATTAACAGGAAGTGATATCTAACTGTGATACTATGACTCACCAGCATCTTGGATTGTGTTGATCTATTCATATATTTCCAGACCTGTTGTATACTGTTGTGTATTGTTGTATACTGTTGTGTACTGTTGTATACTACACCTGTAACATAGTTGCTGAGCAACAACTCCCTGTTGGACTCTCTACCGAAACAATAACCACGTCAGACACTGGTTCTGGTGACAGCATTGGTTATGAAAGTTATGAAAATGGACCTTCAGTGTTAACTAAGGTCCACCTACTGACTTAGATGCAGTAAAATAATAACCTTACTGAGTTACTGACTGATCATGTGTGATTTATCCCAAGCAGTTATTCTGAGAGCAAAACCTCCAACATTAAGAGACAACACTGTCATGTAAAGACCTGAAAAACTTGAAGAGTCCCAGTCTGAATTTAATCTGGTTGACTGAAGAGTCATCACAGCAGAGCTAAAATATATACAAAAAAACAGTCCAACTAATATCTAATCTGATCATCTATCTTGGCCTTCTCTGAATGTTTTTTTTTTTACATGTCCTGCTAGTCTGTCGATCATTTGTAGGGAGACACTATGTTTCTTATCATTTCTTCATTTAAAAGACATTTCTGTAACACGTACACACAGGTTAATGTATGTTAATGTTTAAAGTCTGACGTGAAAATACAAACCTGATCAGCTGTAACGTTGTTTTGAATCCTGGTGTATGAAGTCTGTCTGGACCTTTAAAGTAAAACAGGTGATTCCTCAGTTTGTCCAGTGTGGTCTTCAGGCCTTATAGTATATTACAGTATATTAAACTCTTTTGTCTTCTTGTCTTGACTTCAAAATTCCCTCAGGGCACAGGATTCTGATCAAATCTTCACTTGTAGTCATCTAAACAGCACAAGTTCTGATGCTGACCCATCTGTGTGACAGTCGTGTTCCATGTAAGTTGTTGAATGACAGGATTGAGAACTCTGGGGTGAAACTGTGTGAAACCTCCACGCCCATTTTACTTGGACTCTCTACTCCTTTTTCTTTCTGTGTGTCGGCCACTCCCACACATACACTTGTCGAATGCTTTGTTCTCACGGTTTCTTTTTTTCTTTCCCTTGTGTTTGCAGGTTTCACTACCTCTGCTAAGCCACAGAGTCAGGAAGAACTCACTGTAACTCCCAGTGTTTTCTCAGTGTCTTTTCCATGTCACATTCCACAGGACAGAAGGAAGGTGTGTCTGCACTTGTCTTGCCTTGGGCTGAAACAGCGGCAGACTGAAGTAGACCTTGATGTTCTAAAGGCTCATCTTAAAGTCTTATCTTTACTTCTCTGCAGTAAAATGTTTACATTCACATCATCTGACATTGGAAACATGACGTCCTTGATATGAAGGGTCCAACTTAACCTCTTGATTTGGGGGATTTATAGTTTCCTGTCATAACACATCCCCATGTTTACTCAGAGATAAGAGAGCCAGTATTTACTCCACCTTGGAGCGCTGATTGATGAACACCTGACTGCATTTTTCAGTGCTGGCGCCTCCTACATACCATACACTGTACCAGCTCAGTGATAGGGGCGTACAGTAAGAATGATCTGCGGCAGTGTAAAGTTTTACTCTCTGAGTTATTTCTACTGAGCGGGTATTTCCCTCCCTGGATGCCGCCATGCATTGCTTGCCCTTGTTTTCATGTTTTCAGCGAAGTTTTGTATCCGTAACCTTTACACCTCATGTCAAGTAGCCATGATGTCGGAATGTAATCACCCCGTTTATTGGCGCCGAAGCCCCGCCCAATATACGCCTTAACCAATGAGCGAAGTCCAAAATGTGCTGCGTAAAAAACACGGAAGTAGAAAAAACAAAGTACAGGACAATTCGGTGTATAGATGTTACACGTCACTGAACTGAAACGTTCAGTTTGTCGGTTTAGTCATCGAACGTTTATTATATAGCCAAAATGGAGAAGAAGAGTGACGTGGTTGTAGCCACAGAGAGATACGGCAGCACAGGATTCTGGAAATATGTTGCCAAGAATGGAATAATAGAGAGAAGAAGAGATGAGAGTGAAAGTGTTGGAAGGAGAGGAAATCCTGTTGTTGGAGTATTTAAAGTAAGAGTCGATCACACTTTCTTTCTTTCTTCAGACCCAACGTGAGTTTTGACATTAGAAATTTACCCTGTTGTTACAGCAAGATGCAGGGCGAAGAGCATTAAACGTTCCAACAATATTTATTATATACTCAGTGCAAGTTGCAAAGACCAAGATCCTTGGTGTGAACTAATCTGTAAGTTATATAGTTGCTCCACTCGATTTCCAATTAAATTAGTTTGTGCAATGTGTACACACGTCGTAATATTAAAAGATATATTTACTCTAAAAAAACTTGTTTACTCTAAAAAAAGATGCGTTTTAATATTCCAGTTTTCACAGACCTCAATTATTAGCATATACTATACACCGGCACAGTCCAACAGAAGCAAAGTGACATATAAAAGACGACCACTGACTACTTCATCATGCTGGTGGATGCTTGTGAATTTATGGTCCATGTGTGACTCATTTTTCCTCACCTACTGAATTTCAGCGTGTGTTTCTGCCTCAAGGCTACCCAGAGAGTGTCAGTGGTGACTATCTGCAGTATCAGTTTTGGGACACTGTTCAGGTACTGTTGAAGAAAACACATGATTCGATGATCACTATTTCATTACGATCACTGCGTCACACTCTCCTCTGTTTCTCCTCAGGCTTTCTCCAGCTCTTTGTCAGGGACGTTGGCCACTCAGGCCTCTCTCAGAGGAATCGGTGTTGGAAACCAAGAGGCCACCGTTGCTGCAGCCACATTCACCTGGTTACTTAAAGGTCCTGAGAAAAACCAACCAAAATGTCATCAAAATCCACCCTTTACTTTTGAAATAATAAATAATAAAACAAAGTATTTGTTTAATTAACTTTGTTCAAGGAACATGTATAATCCTTCTTGCAGATGGAACAGGAATGTTGGGCAGAATCCTCTTTGCCTGGCAGAAAGGGTGGGTTTATATTTATTTTTTAAATGGAATGAAGTCACAGTGTATATATTTTCCTCTTTTACTGTGACTTTTTTGTTGTTATCACAGAAGTAAACTGGACTCCGAAGCCAAAAAATGGAGGTACAGTCTTAAAATTCACTCTACGATGTAAAACTGTCTTCATTATCTTTGTTTACATACAATACAATATTAATATATTTTAGAAATATACTTTTTTCCTACATAAATAATAAGAAAAAAACAGGGAAAATGTCTGTTTGATGTAATACATTTTTAAAAATGTCTCACCAGGCTTTTTGCGGATGTTCTCAATGACATTGCCATGTTCATGGAGATACTGGCTCCTTACTTTCCTGCATTCTTCATTTTTATTGTGTGCACTGCCGGAGTTTTTAAGGTAAAACTAAGAAAAAATAAATGAATGTAAAATGAAGGCAAAAATCTGTGTTGATATTGATCATTTTAAAGTAGGCAGTGATGACTGTGAACTGAAAATAATCCTCTGAATTTTAAAACTGGATATTGTGTTTAATCTTTACTGTCTGTTTGAATGTGAGACAGTTAAGGGACGTGGTTTTGATTTGCAGGTTAGAACCAGGTCACGGATCTGAGGTTATGATAAAGTAACCTGTCCCTGTTACATGTGTTTTTCATTTAGTCCATTGTTGGAGTAGCAGGTGGAGCCACTAGAGCTGCTCTCACTGTTCACCAGGCTCGCAGAGACAACATGGCTGATATCTCTGCCAAAGATGGCAGTCAGGTAAACATTTGATTAATTTCCTAAATTTTCAGTAACAACTAATGATTTGCCATGTAGATAAATGTCTATAAAAGCTGAAAATGATTCTCAGTTTTTTAACATGAAATTTTTAAATTTCCCAGCCTTAAATCAAATTCATCAGATTCATCTCTTTTCCTCCTCAGGAAACTTTAGTAAATTTGGCCGGACTACTGGTCAGCTTGGCACTCATTCCCCTTGTCACCAACAACCCTATGTAAGTATTGAGCAGTAACAACATGTCAGGTGCATCATCTCTGTGTTATGTTGTAGCTGTGACCAGTCTGTTTCCTACATTGAAATAATAATAAAAAATGTCCTTCATCTCCTTTTTTGTCTCTCTTTGTCTCAGGCTGACTCTCCTTCTCTTCTTCCTTTTTACTGTTCTTCACCTCTTTGCCAATTACAAGGCCGTTCGATCGGTTATCATGGAAACCTTCAATGAGGCACGGCTCTCCATAGTGTTTCAGCAGTATCTGGAAGACAAGCAAATCCTCAGTCCACAGGAAGCTAATCTGAGAGAGCCTGTCTTCTTGGGTGAAAATTACATCCTCATACATCCAAATAAAGTCTTGGGTTAGTTAGTGGGTTAGTAATGATGTCCTTACAAACATTTGACATGTTTCTTTACAGAGTTTAGAAAAATGGTGCAAATCAAACTTGGAGTGAGATTACAAGAGGTTGTGAAGTGGTAATTTCACCTATGATATAAACAACTACACACACTAACCTGTGCCAACACACATTAACTAAATCCACTCTTTGTTTTATAGCTCACAGGAACTTGACTTGGCTCTGAAGAACAACAGATTGCCTTTTCTGCTAGGAGTGCATAATGGTGAGTCAGTTAAAGAGAAAAGTTTCTCTCACCCTAGTAGACGTATTAAATTCTCTGAATGTTTGTCACTCCTCCTTTCAGGGTGTGTTTGTGTATGTTTGGGACCAAAGGCCTCAGTGTGTGATGAAATCAGAGCCATGTGCCAGGCTGTGTGGCTCAGCAACATGTTGAGTCATCAGACACAGCAAAAGCAAAGTCAGTCTTTACTTATGTCCATTAATCTTGACACAGGCTCTATATATTTACATTTGAACATGACTCTTATTTTGTTTAAATTATAGGTCACTGGGAAATGGTACGCGAGAGTCACAAACTAATGGACAAAGTTTTTGATCCATTTATCAAAGGTGACTCCAATCAAAAATATTTCAACATTCCATTATGTTTTAATTTTTTTCTTGGAGCGGAAGTGTATTTAAAAAAAAAAAAAAAAAAAAAAAAAACCTTTTCTAGGTGTGGTGGCTGCAGGATGGGATACGGGAAGAACTCTCCTGGACTGGGACGAGTGGAGGGTCGAGTGGAAATCAAAGAGCAGTTAAGCCAAGGAGTAATTCAAACAGATTATAACTCTTTATATATCATTACCTTTTGTTGAATAAACTGTATTTTGATTTTCTACTTGTTTGTCTGTCTTGTTTTTAGTCTTTGTTTGAATACTTCATTTAAGGGGATAGAGTACAGAAAGACCAAGAAGAGGATGCAGTTGTATTGTTATTGTACATATAAACACACACAATATTAAGGTATATGTGTAAAAATAAAAAACATACAAAATACGTTAAATGTTATGGATAAAGTTCTCATTATATAATTTAACGTTGTAGTTTGATACAAACCAAACTTTCCGAAATGTTTATACATTTGAAACAGTAAGAGTAACACTTAAAATGTGAAGTATATATTGTGATATTCTTATATTTCATCTCAAAATGGCATTCACAGTAAGTGGGGGCAGTGTTAGGCCTTTGTTTACAAGTCCACAAACCACGAAAAAGAGTGGTGCGGAAATATGTTAAGATTGGAGTATTTTCAAGCTAAAAGCGGGAAACTATTTGTGCAAAGTAAATGCCTGAATTTGATGTCAAATGAAGTTTTATTGCAAAAATATGATTGCGGAGAAAAATTAAAATATAACAAAAATGTGTGTATACTTCCATAAAGTATAAACATAATATACTGAAATTATAATACAATAATTGTTTTGAAAAACTGTAACCGGATGTTTGACATCTTTACTTTCCGTTCGATTAATTTAACAACAAAATCTTTGTTTGAATGAAATGGGTAGATACAAGTGTGCATATGACTGTGACAGCTCGAATGAAACAGATGTGAAGTTTTTTAAGTAAGTATTTAGTATTTCGTAATATCCCGGCTTTCGTCGGGATAACGGAGGGTTAGTTAGCAGGTTGTGATAAGTCAGTTCTTAAGACGGAAATAACTAAGTTCTTTAACATTATTTCTAATGGGTCGATATTAAGGTTGGGAATAAGGTTCTAGTTCTCTTGCGATATACAAAACTCGCATTTAAGAGTAGCTGTGTGTTTGTGTGGGACTGTTACCACAGGTTCCCTCTCTACCATTCACGGAGGCTAAAGAAATGGCTTGCCAACATGAAGATGCAAGACTGGACCCCGTCCCGCTTCTCTGTGCTGTGCATCAATCATTTTGAAGAGAAATACATCGACAGAACAGGAAAATCTGTGAAACTTAGAGAAGATGCGGTTCCCACCATATTTTCCTCCCCAGCCAACACCGAGAAACAGGTTAAATCATGCTCTAAGTCACATCTGCTTCAATGTTATGTGGTTGATAATTAACTTTCCCCTTGATTTCTCACGAAGTCCTAAAATGTATAAAAGAAATAGCCATAGACATCAGTGAGGTAAAGGAAAAAGACCTGAAGTGATCTGTTGATATATAAAGTACCTATTATTATGTGTATAGATGGATGGATAATGATAATTCTTAAGGCTGATATATTTCTATTTCTGATTTAGGCTTCTCCCAAACCAAGGAGTCAGAGAAACAAGGTAGAGCATCTGAACTGCTTTCATGTCAAATTCTTCTGCACAGGTTGATTTCACACACAATAAATCAATATATTCACAATGTCTTCATTGTTTTTATGTTCTAAACCCAGCCACATCGTAAAGCCTCTCAGATTCTACCAGCTCAGTCTCCAACAGCTTCTGCTGCTACAACAAAGCAGAGTGTCCAGGAGGAAGAGAGTGGAGAGCCAACAGAACAAGTGTCTGCTGAGTGTGTTATGCTGATAATTTCTTAGCCTAAATTAGTTTATTGTTAAGGTGTACAATATAACACATATACAATAATATTATGATGTTTTTGCAGTTGAAATACATTTTAAATATTCTATAATCTTTTTTTTTGTTTCTGTGAAATAGAAATTCACTCACATCAGATAAGTGGAGGATTATAGCTGATGAGGGTCTGATGATGATAGAGTCCTTTCCGCATTTTTTCCATGGGGATTACTGCACACCACAAGTAAGCATACAGATAGTATACTGTATACTATATTGAAATAAATTATTATTCATAGAAAAGTAAAAAAAAACACTTGTCTCAGAAAGTCCTTTTCTATGAAAACAAATTACATTTTTGTATGTTTACATATTTATGAAATGTCATCAGTTCTAATGTATTGTCTTTCTGTCACTAAAAGGATATACAGTGGGCTCCAGATGATAATACTGATGTATGTATGTTGTTTTATTTTAATCACAGCATTTCTTCTAACTTAAGTCATTGCGATGCATTTTACTTAAATCATCTTCTTTCTTTTCACAGGCAGGACATAAAAATCCTGAAAACATAATTGAGGTATGTATTCTCAAAGGTTTACAGCCTCCATAATATAACAGGCCGGTGTGAATGAAAAGATCACCCAGTGCAACCTTGTTGCAAATTATCCTATGTTGATCCAACTTAGAAACAATTTTTGGTTTCAAAAATACTCTAGCATGGATCGATAACCTGTTTATACTGAGTGATGATCATGATGATGGTATAATGCTGTGACTGCAGGTCAAAGAGCCATGGCAGTGGCTTGGTCTGGATGTCAGAGGACCTCTGCCCACGACGCTGATCGGACACCGATACATCTTGACTTTGACAGATTACTACACTAAGTGGGTCGAGGCTGTTCCTTTGCAGTTGTGCCAACCGGAGAATGTGACAAAACAGATTGTGGACATCATAGCCCACTTTGGATATCCTGTCAGAATCCTCTCCAGACTGCCTCTTGATGTAGTTCAGAAAGTAAGTTCATGTCATTAATGTAAGAACCTATTTGTTTTAGAAGAGGAGACCTGCAGCACTCCTGAGTAAACAGAAACGTCAGTTTAAGTCGATCTATTCTCACATGTTCCTGGTCACACTGTTAGCCATTTAAGTCAAATGACAAATGTTTGCACAAGTCAAGTAAACCTGGAAATCTTCTCTTTCTGTTTTTCCCAAGTCTCACAAACAGTCATGACTTTTTTTTCTTGAGTCCAGACGGCAATAACCACTGTGTTATGTTTGAAAAGACATTTACAGTATGTCACAGGAGTGATTCTTTGTTCACATCTGCCTGGTCCTCTAGAGTACTAATATAAAGTATAATTAAGAAATTCTAGGCTTTAATATAATCTGTGGCATTACATAAGATTGTGGTAAAGATTCAAAATAATTGTGATATTACTGTCCTGGAACAACCACTGTCATTTATGTGCTGATTTAATGTGCTTAATCTCCATGGCAGATAAACAGCCTTCTGCAAACTGAGCTCAACGTCTCCTTCGCTCTTGTGGTTCATCATCGACAGACTGGCACTGCAGATCTGATCACACAACACCTGATCAACAGGTCTGAAGACACTGCATAATAAACGACACAATTACAATGTGCTTTATCTACAGTTTAATTAAAATGAACCATTTATCATAGTCCAGTAAATTATGGGTTACTTTATCATCATGCTGCTGAAATGTTGTTATTAATGAACAGCTGATCCGTGTCTAAAAATGAAAGCTGTGATTTCACCTACTTCCCACCAGGATGGTGAGTGATCTTGTGGAAGAGCAGCCAGCTGACTGGGACGTTCACCTGCCCGCCAAGGTTTTTAGTTTGTGTTGCACAGAACATTCAAAAACCAAGGAAAGACCCTTTTTATTGCTGTGCTGTAACGGAGTAAAGTCGGTCCAATCTCCAAGAGAGCATGATGTAAGACCAGGGCCAACATATTTTGGTTTCGGGCGAGTCTTTGTTTTAAAGAGAGTCTGAAAGAATACTGTGTTTTGACTTCTCTTTCTACAGTTTGTTTACTCCGAGATCCAAGAGAGTGCCTTTGTGGTTCAGTAGAACACTGAGGTGAGCAGATCATACTTTTCTGTGTATACAATTCTGTGAGCTAAAGTTCACATATATTTAAAAAAGTATTTTGTACCTGGAATTGCAGAAGTACTTGGATGCTTTCACTTCCCTGGAAATACCTATATTTACAGTCATCTTCTAAAAAAAACATACTTGTGTAAAATAGAAACTGCGATGACATAACATGTATCTCAGAATTTTTAGAATCCATTCCTAAAACTTGCTGTGTTACATTTTTTTTGTTGTTGTATTTTTCAGATTTGTGAAGAAAACTCAAAGCAAGACAAAACACATCATATGCCTATGCCATTGTTTCCCTTGGGCCCTGTAGTGATGGACAGAGTAAAACCTAGAGCTGCTTGTTATATATTTTGTATGTAATATTAAAAAGTCCTAATTAAGTTGCTCATTTTTAACTCATTTTTATCTCTTTCTGTGACTCCAGAATAAGTTCTGCAAGGCATTTGTTTTGCCATGTTTCAAGACGTTTTTGTCAATGGAATGTGTTTTATAAATAAAAATTTGCACTAATACTCAAAATACAAACGTGTTATTCTCTCTCCTCCATACGCTGTAAATTGACCTTAGACGGCTCTGGTGACTCTCCACCTCCCTCTGCTGGTTGGCTGCAGAGCTACCGCTCTCCCCTGTGCTGCTGCTGTGATCTCACTGTTGTCGCTGTGCAGCGGACGCGTTTATTTCTGTGTGCAGCCAACCGCAAGAAATGGTGAGTCTTGAAAACAGGTACTGCTTTTAAAGTAGAGGCTGTCGCCCTATCAAATCCTTCAGAAATTAGTAATTAGGTGGCATTCGGTACAGTCTGATGTTTTATTTTAACTAAATGAACAGAGTCAGTGACAAAAAGCGACAATTATAAAAGCTGAGCTCTTTGTTTAGCTAAGCTGTGCTTATCAGCGCTGCTGTATGTCAACACTGCAGCGCTGTCAAACTAGATATTGACCCACGACAATATACTTTTTAGTATAATGAATTGTCTTTTAGGTTTAACGTGTACATATACATAATTTTTTTAAGGAGGAGAAAGTACAACCACCTACCTTAGTCTTGATGCAAATCCAACTTGCTAACTAGCCAGAGGGTAGCCAAAGGGCTAAAGTTATTGTTAGCATTTAAGCTGTAACGTAATAATATGTGATATAAATAACTTCGATTAAAATAACAGTAACTGTAGTGTCATAAGCAGAAGGCGTCTTGTTTACTCTTTGGTTTGTCCGCAATTTACTCGTCGAGGTAGCGAGGAAGCTCTCGTAGCTAACAGTTAGCTACTCTGCTAAGCTAAGCTAACATGTCTATGACGCTGGTTAACAGCTGCAGTGCCATGACTTTAAAACCCACGCTGTGTGCAGATTCATGGAATCCCATAAAGACGAACAACACTCCAGAATTGCTGTCTGTTTCCGTTGCTACACTTTAACACAACTTAGTTGTCGCTGACTCAGTCAGTACAAATATCACTTGCACTCACGCCTTCTCCAGCGTTTGCTGCTCAGTTTTGGTAAAACCAAAAGTCATTACATTACATTTTGTCCAAGTGCCGTGCCAGTAGGATTACTGTTTGTAATTGTTTTGTTACTTTTTATTATTAATATGGTTCCGTGGTGTAGAAATGCGATCTCGTTCAACTGGTTTGGTTCATGAAGGCTGTCAGGTAAAATGATCATCTCTTGCTGTTAAAACACTATTAGCTTTACCAACAACGTAAACAAAGTGTGCAGTGAAAATAATTTCTGACTTTTTTTCACTTTTTCTTAGATCTTTGTAATGCTCATATAATAAATAAATCTCTGGTTATTATTATTTCTGTGGATATTTAACAAAACATTTGATGAAATCTTCACTTAATTATTATTTTGACAACTAAATATTTAATACATTTAGAGTTATTTGTGTAAATAGTGAGCACATCATTAAGTGACCAACCCTCTCTTCTTACCTCAGGATGTGTTTCTTATGATCCGGCGTCACAAGACGACAATCTTCACAGATGCCAAAGAGTCGACAACAGTCTACGAACTGAAGCGCATTGTTGAGGGCATTTTGAAGAGAGCACCTGAAGATCAGAGGCTTTATAAGGTGATGTAAAAAAAACACAAGTGATAAATGATCGTACAATGACGTGTTTCCATGAATGAACTAACTTTAAATAAGTTTTAATATTGTTATATTTACATGACCAGAACAAGTGGATATGAAAAACTGTATGTAAGAACCAACACTGATGAACTGCTTTGTGCTTAGATATAAGCTGTGCCTAAATTATGTCGTTACACATTTCTGAAGCAGTGATGCAGAAATAGTTCATGATCTGTAAACACTAGGAACTTTAAACTTTAGTTCCCTGCTTATTTATTTTATTATTTATTTCTTTATATCTCAGATATGTAGTTTGAATGTTAAACAATATTTGTGCAATTTAAAAATAACATAATAATCGGTTCTCTTTTTTCCAAATACCAATATTGTATTGGTATTGTATGTAAAAAAAAAAAAACATGACTGAGATTTTTGTTCTGTTCAGGATGATGTGCTGCTGAACGACAGTCAAACACTCGGAAACTGTGGCTTCACAAACCAAACAGCCCGACCTCAGGCTCCGGCCACAGTGGGATTAGCTTTCCGTTTGGCTGGTAAGAAGACTTCAGTTTCATTGGTCCATATTCTAATTCCCAAAGCTAGTTTTCTGATTTGATATCTTGTCTCCTCTTCATTGTGTCACTTCTCCTGTCACGTCCTTCCCTCTGTGTCCTCGTCCCAGATGATTCCTTTGAGCAGCTGAGGATTGAGCCCTTCTCCACTCCCCCAGAGCTTCCTGACGTCATGAAGCCCCAGGACTCGGGCAGTACAGCCAATGAGCAGGCTGTTCAGTGAGGGCCGGGGCGGGTTTAGGAGAGTAACACACAGGGGGTCTGAGGGAGGGAGGGACTGAATTTTGGGAGGTGATGCTTCAGTGGGTACGAGTTTTGCTGACCCATCTCTAGGTGGGCATAAACAATTACATGGACTCCCCTTGTTGTAAACCCGGGGGCGTTTAGGTGGTAAATTTGTCCAGAAATCGGAGAACGCATGCTAAATTGATTCTTTCACACAAGACCCTACAGAGATAAGCGACGGACTTGTCTTGACACTGTCAGTCATCCATGACATTGGTAAAGGCTGAACATTTAAAAAAAAAAAGTACCTCGTATTTAAGTAATTTTACTCTTTATTTGGGGTTAGGCTCACACCGTCTTGCTTTTTTTAATTTTATTTGCTGGCTTAAATGTGAGCGTTGATGAGGTGTGACATTTTTAGACATTTATGTTTGTGTTTCTTTATTAAACAATGACTAAGATTTATCATATTTTTGGTCTTTGGCCTGGTTATGTGTTGCAAAAATAGTTAGGAGTTTGTGGATGTCTAAGTTACTATTTGTATTTAAAGGACTTCTGAACAACACCAATTTGAAATCACAAAGATTCGCTGGTCAACAGAGGATTTGGCTCAAGGTGATATTTTCCTGACACTTAATCAATCCAAGCTGTCTTACTGTTACTACACAGAGGTTACTGAGACTGAAGCTGAGACTCAGTCCTGGTTATCATGAACACATGTAATGCTGGTGTAGATCTGAAATCAACGGAGGATGAAACAGCAAAAACAGACGTTATTGATTTGTACGTGTTATTGCCAAGTGCAAACTGATCAGGTGTCTTTTCCAGTGTTGAATGCAACTCTTCAATGAGAAGATTTTGTAAACATCAGTCATTGGGTTTATAAAGCTCACTGTGCAGTTGTGTGATGTTACGGAACTATATAAAAAGACAAAAAACAGACTTTCAATCACCACCGCCTGTCACCACATTTCCTTCCCATTCAGCTTCAGCTCACGCAGTTATTTATGCCATGATTTTAAAAAAATCTTATGCACAACACTATATATTCATTTAAAATTGTACAAAAATGGGCCACGTGATGAAGAAACTTGCAAGGAAAAATGTCCCCCATCAGATAGAGAAGAAAGATTATTAGGAATTGAACGTTGAAATATATTTTAAAAAAAATCAAGGAAGTTTAACAAAAAAGATATGATCGAAGTTGCAATTGTAACTGATTTACCATTAAAACAACAGTTTTTTTTCCACCCTGATGGTCTGTGGTCTTTTTGGTTGTCCGTAAGCTTCAGCCCTCACCCAATATATACAGTATACTGATGGATGGTTGTATAAAAACTTCGATTTTGTAAATGAATTTCTAGAAGTTAATTGGTTAGGCATTTTAATCATGTTTTGTTTAGTTTTAAAGGTCTGCAAAATTATAGAATCTTATGCTAATGGGACAATTTTAATGTTTTGGTCGACTTCACGATATCGTATCCTTCAATTGACCTTGAATAACTTTAAGATATAAATATGAAACTTTTAATGGGTTACCTTAATTAAATGTACTAAAAATGTTCAATGGAAGAGTTATCCCCGAGGTCATGTTTACATCTGTACGCGCATGCTCAGTCTTCTTTTTACCCACTTAGCTTGATAGACACGCTTTGTATGCTACTTGTAAACCACTACGAATGTGTAATGTAATTGCTTGATTGGATGCCAATAGTTTGCTTTTCTGTTTCTTTAAAAACTATTTTTTGGAAGATGTTTTTAAAAGCGTGGAGGCGGTTTTCGCTCGGTTCCTCGTTTTGAGTTCCATAGCTTGGACGGAGCTAAGCTAGGTTTGCATTATGTTGAGAGCAGCACCAGCAGTAGAAGGAGAACCCTGTGTGTTTCTCTTCGAGTCAGATGGAGGTCAGTGGGTTTGTGATTTCAGCAGGCAGGGCCGTGCTGGACATGGTGGAGCGGGAATGGCAGCCTCTGTCTGCGGATGAGTTGGATCAGCGACTGGACCATGCGGTGGAGGAGATCCTGGAAACTGAGCTCATAACGCAGCTAAAAAGTCAGTCGACTTCCCCTCCAACTCCTCCCGCTGCTCCTGTTTATGTTCACTTACTACAGAGTCAACACAATGTGGAGCCGCAGGTTCTGCAAACAGCCGCAGCAGTCTGTGGTTCTCCAGTCCATGAAGAGGAGACGGCGGATAGTGGAAACAGTGCAGCCGTGAAGGTGATGGATAGTGGGAGTGGGGCAAAGTATCATCACTATTATCATGTAGTACACCGAAAAAACTCAATTTTGTACGTTTTATATATCGCCATGCGGTATGACTAACAACAACATAAGCAGATTCCTGGGAATCATTTCAATAATAATAAGTTGTTATCCACCTGGCATTTTGAAAGATGCTGCCTTTATGTGCAATATCACACCCAATATTCTTTTACCTTTTTAAAAAAATGTTTATAATTTGAACAAAAATAAGTTAGTCCAATACCTTTATTAACAAAACTTAGTACACTTAATTGAAATTGACTTCATCCATTTTAATTTATAGAAAAATATCAGTGGTTATGTATTTAGTGCATCCAAAGACTGATTTGGTTGTTGGATACTGTGTTTCCTCTCCACAGTGCATTACAGAGTTGCTCCAAAGCTCTAAGTCACAGCGCAGACTCGCTGGTCGGGCTCGCCTGTCTCTGTCTCAGACCGTCCTCCTCTCTCTTACTCTGCTGTCTGAGCGTATAAGCTACCGCACTGTATCACGGCGCTTGCTCTTGGAAAAAGGAAATATCCACAGGAACTTCTTTTCTTTCTGTGAATGCATCAGCACACAAGCAGAGAGGAAGATCACATGGCCTGTGGGTGGGTTGATCACAGTTAGCGTTATATGGACAAAATAAATTTGTTTGATGGTTGCAAAGACTAAGTGATAAAAGCTGTTTTTTTGTTTGTAAATCTTAGGTGATGATGCTGCCCATGCACTTTTCCCACTTGTTCATCTGGAGAAGAGGACAGAGGCGGCAGAGCAAACTGTTCCCCAGGTTCTTGGAGTGTTGGGACATACCCACATCCCTATGCGCTCGTCATTAGGGAAACGTGACCTAGAGACATCGGTCCCTGAAGTGAAAAGGATTAAGAAGGAGGCTGATCCAGACTCCTGGTTAAACCTTGAGCTTTTATGTGACCACAGAGGTCGCTTCCTACACTGTACAGTCAGTAAAGGGTCAGACGTGGACAGAGGCAGTGCCCTAAGACACAAACTCCAACAGCATCCTGAACTGATGCCTCCTGGCTCATGCATCCTTGCCAAAACTGGCTACCCACTCACTGCTGACATCATAACTCCTTATAGAAAAAGTCTTGGACCAAGAGAAGAGCTCTTTAACAAGATACTGGAGGAGCATTTTCTCATCCTAGGTCAAGCTGTTTCCAGTCTAAAAGCCAGGTTCCAAAGACTCAAGTATTTGGATATTGGGAACTATGATCGAGCCAGAGCTGTAGTGCTGACCGCCTGTGTACTGCACAATGTGTTTTTGGACATGGGACAGGTGGTTCAAGTAGAAGTAGAAAAAGAAGATGACCTTAACCACAAGGGAGATTATGAGGAAGAGGAGGGCATAAACAAACGTGATGCTATCTCAGATAGGTTGATTAAAAGTTTTGAATTGTCTAGCATGTAACGTTATAATTTATGCTATAATGTGTTTATTAAAACCTTTGTCACAAGTCACTGTCTTGAATCTTGGATCACATTTCCAGACAGCCAGGACTTTTTAGGGACTTTTGCGAATAAATGTCCCTTACATTATTTTTTTCTGAGAAACCCTCTGCTATTAAAATAATTTCATTGTTTGAATTTAATTATTATAAACAAATTGTTGACAGATTGTATCTTTATATTGACAGTTTCTATGTGTTACAGCAATGCTATTTAAGCAGTTTAGCCCTGACTTAAAATGTTGTCAGCAACATTGTGATAGTGGTATAAAAGTTCGTAAAAAAAACATATTGACATTCTTACAAAGGTAAACGTAATAGGAATAATGAATTGAAAGCACAATACCAAATAATGGCATTATTTTTAATCATGATTCTCTGTAAATATGTACAAATCAAAATTGACCAAAATAAGGGTTGTGATTACTATGCTGGCCCTCATCATGATGTCATAATCAGTCTATGACTGATAAATATATTTTAATGATAATTAGACATTCAAGAAAAATGTTAAACCCATCAGGTTTAGGGCTATGTTATGCTTGTCATTCTGAAGACGTGTGTGTGTCCATACATACATGTGCGTATCTATATACATTTATGCAGTACGTGACCCATTTGTTTTAGTTAAACAAAAAACAAACTGAACTAGTTATCTTCTGGCCTAATTTCCCTCCTTTGACGTCGGTGTGTTGTTCTTCTGGGCCAAGTTGGAGATGGCCTGGGCCAGGTTGTTGATGGCCTCTATCTTTCTCTCCTCCAAGGCTTTCTGCTGTGCCCACATGTTCAGCTTTCGCTCCTGTAACTCCATATAAAGCTGCAGGACATCCTGTGGAGGTCGGACAGGGCAGGGTGCCACTGTTACAGGTGGCGTAGGGAGGATGGGCATAAACCTTTTGCTTGCTATGGCCCTGCCCACTTTAGTTCCACTGAGCTTAGCTCTACGCTGGGCTTCGATGTCCTCCCTGGTCTTACCTAGGACATCATGCATGGGCTTGAAGAACTCCCAGTGAATACTTGTTGCCCCATGCCTTTTGGCCCGTTCTGTGTTCTTCCTGTACGTGGCCAGCATGTTTCTCCACTTGAGATCGCACTCATAGGCTTTCACCAAGACACCCACAGCCTCTGACTCTCTCATTTTGGCATTAACCTTCTCCGCCACCATCTCCCACAGTTTCTTTTTTTTGCACACTGGCTGGTCAAAGTCAGGGTCCATTTCCAGGCGGATGTTGACGAGGTGCCATGTAGCCTGTAGTGTCCAAATAAATTCTACACAAGAAAACAGAAAGATCACCTAATTTTAACAGTGTAATTCAAAGTGTTAGCACAATTTTAAAAAAGAGAATTGAAAACTAAAGTAAAGTAAAAGTAAACTAACTAAAGTAGAGCATTTCAATGCCTTGTACAGTAAAAGACAATTACTTTCTAGTTACAGTTCTATGTCAGACTTTTTAAAAAATGTTAGAAATGACAGCAAACTTACATCACTTGTCAAGTATTTATCTCAATTACATCATAAGCTGTGTAACAAATAGAATAAAAATATTTAATATAAATATTTATAACTTTACCAAATAGTTTGAGTTACATAAACTCTATCATAGTACATTTGTATATTCAAAAAACAAATTTTGCCTCCAGACAATAAAACTCCAACCAGGAAAAAAAATAATAGTTCAGCCCTAACAATTAATTTGTGTTTTTAGTTCCGTCATCGGGAACCCCACACATCGTGCGATGACTGGTAGAATCCTACTGAACTTTAAGCACTAACCTCCTTTGCTTTTACTATCGGCTTCGACACTGGACACGACGGTTTCTTTTTCTTCAACTTCCGCGTTTTGTATCACGATCGTTTCTATGACCTCCATTTCGTCAAACGACTTCAATTAGTGAGTGGAATCTTTGCACCGAGGAATTTAACAACCCCTTAAAAAAAATCGATGGACGCTTTCGCATCAGATAAAATGATGATTATAACAACGCCGCCAAGCATTATGGGAAGTACAGTCCATTTACGTTGACACATTCACAAATTGTATAAGTGGGTCAAGAAGCAAAACTACAATCATGACATGCGAGTCATCAACAACGTCCTCGTACCCTAAAGACTCAGTCTTTCGTCACAAGTCCGACGACGTGTGCAACTGGAAATGTAGTTCTTTACTCACACAGACAGGTTCGTAAAGCCGAAAAAAACGGATGCTGAACTACAAGCCCAGTCACACGCCAAACAGCGCCTCCTCTTCAGTCCCTGCCTCTCTCGTCAGGCGCCCCCGTTTACTTGTTTGGCTAAAGATGGCGTTAGCGGCTAACACAGACGACCGCATTCTGTTCAACAAAATTTATTTGGCCACTTGTGACAAAATAATGATGTAGTCGTACTTTAATTCGTCAGACGATGTGCAAGCAAATGTGGCACAAAGAGAAAATACAATTCCATATTGTAGAACTACCCTTGGTGGGCTTCGTCACGATGTAGGCCTGTTCTTTAGGGAGTGGACCAAGGCTTCTGGAAACTCCATTACCCGACAACGACCGCGTCTCAGGTGGTACAACTTAACTTTCTCCCGATGGTAGCTGTAGTTTCAGTTTAATGACGTGATATTTTTGTCACTATTTTACTTGGAAGTTTAAAATGACGCTCTGTACTGTTTCATATATGCAAAACGGGGATATGATAAAATAGAATTTTCGTAAATTAGTCTTAAACACGTAGAAAAGGGAATTTGTGGTAAGTTGTAACAAATATAAATATAATAATTCATAATTAGCGCTTGTGTTAATAGTCCAGACAAGGTATGTTTGCTTTGTCATATAAAATGTTTCCCAAAAACTGGTTCAAGGCCCACATGTTAGTGTGCAAATATTATTCTTGGGTCACATATAGATTTACATTGTTTTAAAAGTAAGATTTTGTCTGGTGTGACTTTACAGAGATTAGTTTTGGAGACATCATTCCAAAATACTTTTTGTTATATTGCACTCTGAGACTATTATATAAAGATATGCTTATTCACATTTTTCAAAATGTCTATGATTTTAGTACTGTAATAGTTTAATGTTGTGTCATTGTGATGAAATGTTTTACATTAAAATGAATGTTCTTTCATTTGATTAGATAAGAAAGTTAAATGTTAAGTCACTGACCCAGTTGTCCAATATCAGGAGGGACCATGGCGGCATCACCGGAGTCCTCTTTGTCATGGTGCCTGGCTCAAATCTCTAGACCTGGCTCTGGAGCAGAGCATCATGGTAATAACAAGACAGACACGAACAAAGGCAAAGAACTGGACAAGAGGTCCAGAATATCTCAGTGGCGAGCCCTGGTTGCCATTCGCACACAACACATCAAGGGAGACAAAGCTGGCATTGCCAGGTTCAGGACTCAAGGTGGTCTTGAGCCATTGCTGGACCTACTGAAACAGCCAGAGTGTTCCAAAAAAACACTGGATTTGGCTCTGAGCATCCTGGCTAACTGCTGCACTGAATCTCAAACATGCATAGAGGTGAAACAGAATAACAATCAATAATCCTAGTCAACTATTTTTTTCCAAGCAGTGAATATTGCTGACATTTGATTTGTTTTCACTATAGGTTCGCAAGCTTGATGGAATAACTATCGTAGGTAAGTAACGTTATTATTATTTTTTGTAAAACCAAACTTTATTTTAAAAATATTTTTAATAGACATACAGACTTTGCAAATTATAAGTTAAAATACATACTAAATACCAAATTTGCTACTTGGTCCAAATGTTTTCACTACGGAATTTGTATAATTAATTTAGCATTTATCTTATACATTTCTTCACGGAATTTGTATAATAAATTTAGCATTTATCTTATACATTTCTTAACTGTGTCAGTGAGTATCCTGAAAAGAAATGTAGCCCTGGACAGCGTTCAGAATCGAGCAGCCCGGGCTTTGGGAAACCTGGCCATGGATTCACAGAACTCTGCACTTATCCACTCTGCTGGTATGTGTTCTAATGTTACCATTTTTCTCTCTGCATCATATAAATTCATCCTTTTTAGGGATCTTGCAGGCATTGTTTTTTTTAATTTGTGGAATTATGTAAACTAAATATTAAGTTTGTATTGCGTATTTGGGAGGTGCACCAGATTTTATTGTCTGTTATTGTATTTTAAAATGTGTTTAAAGCCTGTACTGTGGCTTTAAAATCATAAAATCATGAATCTATGTTTGTGTTTTCCAACAGGTGGCGTTCCTCTTCTTCTTCTCTGTGTCTCCGTTTCTTCCACCTCGTCCTCCCCCACCACCGTTCCCTCCAAAGACACCTGTCCTAAACTAGAGTGTGCCCAGTCAGCAGCTCGTGCACTCCTCTACCTCTCAGATACTCCCTCTAACCGCCTGTCTTTACTCACCCAAGGAACCTTATCTGCTCTTGCTCCTCTCATTGCTCCTGAGTATCCACAAGGGCTGAGGCGGGCAGCACTCAGGACCTTACATGAACTGACTCGGGGTTGCGGTGTCGAATGTGCCAGGGAGGTGTCCCGATCTGGTATCCTAGCCCAACTTGGTGTCATGGCTTCAGGGGAGTCTGGAAAATCTTATGAGGAATTGGCCCTGAAAACCCTTGCCAACATTTGCTCTCAAGGTTGCCTGAGACCCCTGGTGGGGTCACTGGGAGTCATTCAGAAGTTCACGGAGGAAGTTAGAAAGGACCTGCAGAAGTCTGGGGTCTTCCTCAAGGCTCTTTGCATGTGCTGCAAGGAGGCAGTCAACAGAGTCAAGGTGAAGGAGAGTGGTGGCCTGGAGGTGCTGACCAGCTTCTTGTCTACACAGCAGGGCCATCCACTCTCTCGACTTGTCATTCTGGCTTGTGTCGACTTTGTGTTTGATGAATCTGCAATGGAACAATTACAAGAGTTAGGGCTGGTCCCTCTGCTAGTGGCACGTCTGGTTGATCTCACCAAAGGAGAACAATCTACCGAGAAGATGGACACAAGTCCATTAAACATGTCTCCGACTGAGCTCCTGCCTCCATCATGCTTTGAATCTTTTGACTTTCCTCCTCCTGAGGGTCACAAAAAGGAAGACGCTGTCAGGGAACAAGGCCTCTGTTCATCAAGTTTTCAAAGTCTGAGGTATGGAATGTCGAACCCATAGCTTTCCCTTTCTATTATCTATGTACTCAATCATCATTATTAATCCAATGTTTTTCAGGTCCTGGTTGGTATCTGAGGGACTGATATCTTCAGAAGGAGATCTGCCAGATTCATCCGGCGTTGATGTTGAATGTGAAAGTCCTCAGCTTCTACAATCCTCATCCCCAAACCCTTATTTAAATCATCTTAAAAGCCCCTCCTCCTCCATGAACACTTCTGTGTCTACTTGTAAAAAAACAGCCCAGCCTTTTTCAGTGTCACCCTTGGATAAAGTCCCTGATTTGACTACATCTAGTCCTCAGTCCCCTGGTTCACTCACAAGCCAAATCAACCACTGTTCCTCTGCTGCCTCCTCTCCCACTGAAACACCTGTGATGGCATCAAAGTTTTCATCTCCTCAACGACGGAGGCAGCGGACACACTCAACAACATCACTTACCAAAGTCATATTGGAGACCCCTCCTTCTATGTCCCGTCAAATGACTTACCATCATCCTTACCACCCCGAACCATGGACCACCGAGTCTCCTATTTTGCTGCTGTTGTCACGCTTTTCCCATGCCAGCGATCCAAGTGCTGCTCTGGTCACTTCGGGCACCATGTCCGGTCTGCTCTACTACCTTACCCAGCACCAGGACCCCAGCAGCAGGTGCTTCCGTATGCTCAGCAGGCTGAGCTGCAACCCAAACTGTCTGCAGGCGCTGGTCCGAACGGGCACAGTGGCATTGATTCAACACCGTCTCTGCCAGAGAGTGGGTTGGCGCAAGGGCGAGGACAGGCAGACAGACGGAGTCAAAGCCAAACTTAAACAACTAGGTACGATTGTTGGACAAAATCAACTGAATTGTGTCCTGGTGTTTTATTACTAATTTTATCCCTGTTTCATTGTCATATCATTTTGTTGGGTCATTGTATCAAGCCAGTGCAGATTATACCTTTTTTGCAGATTTTACTTTGATGAAAATTCATTCCACTATTGGTTAATTCAAACCTGATGTTTGACTCTCTTTATTCTTTGAAGGTGTTTCTCTTCTCAACAATCTGCGAGTCCAGTGTGAGTCTGGATTCGGCTCTGGGGTTCTGACCCGGGTGATGATGTCTGGCTCAGAACTGGACAAGTTGAACTGTGCACTGTCTTTGCCGTTAATCAGCAGGTAAGTTGTTGACAAGTTATTTTTACTATCTTTTTAGCCATACTGAAATATTTTTAATTTTAGTGTCAGTAAGATTCAGACGAAACAAAGACTTGTAGTCTGTTGTTATTTTAACTTTATTCCTTTTTTTCATTCACAGCAACAGGGCTCTGCTAAAGAAACTCCTCTTGGACAGTGGAGGTCTACTTTTAGCACTGCAGCCGCTAACTTATTGTAGTGAGGAACTTGATGTGGGTGGAGAAAGCCCGGCTGGATGTAGACGACTGCTCTGCGACTTGTTGAATTCACCTCACACAGGTCAGAGCTCTGAGGTTCACTCACTGTACTTCTCTCTTCTGAGTGGATGTCTGTCCACTCTCATATGTTCCTTTAAAACTGAGCTTCAACAAAAGCACACAGGTGCTGCTGTTACAGGTGCTGTCAGTCAAACAGACAAAACTTTACCTCCTCCCTCAAAGAGACCTCGTTTAGCTGACAAATGTCCCTACGACCTTTCGCATTACGACCTGCTCTTGCTGTTGGATGATGGGACTCGTGTCCCGGCCAATAGGGAGGCTGTGGCTGGTGAAGAGGCAACAGACAGAATTGGCTCAGAATACTTCCGTGCCCTATTAAGAGGTGGATTTGGAGAAGCTCAGTGTAAATCAAAAGATGGCATTCCTATCAAAGACGTTAGCCAGGGAATGTTAGTACCTGTCTTGCATTATCTACATGGCTGTCGCCTCAGCAAGGACAGAGAATCAACAAGAAGAAACGATCAAGGAAAGATGGGAGCATCGTGTCAGATTTTGGACTCACTGGTCCTCGAAGGTCTGAGTACTTGCAGTAAAGATGCAGAAGAGGATTTGAGAGATGACTTCACTTTCCAGAAAAGCCCTCTGGTCCAGGTAATGATTGGTGCCTGTCGGTTTTTGGTTAGTGAGCTGAAGCAGGAGCTGGAAGATCTGTGTGTTTCTCTGGTCCTGTCTTCTTTAACCAGGGCTGCTAAAAAACCAGCAGCATCTGAAAAGGAAACAGCTGATAAAGCTGCACCTAAAACAGACCCAGAGTGTCTCCAGTCTGCTGAGGAGGACCTGGCTAACCGGACATCAGAACTGGAGCTGACTGGTTTCGAGATTCTCACAGACAGTTTTCTCAGTCCCAAACCAAACGGTTCACCACAGCAAACGCACAACAAGAAACCCAATGTCAATACGGTCGACAAGGGAAGCTGTCCAGTCAAACACGTCACGTCCATTTCCAAAGTGCGTCGCATTTCATTCGTGGACAAATCAATCACTGCAAATGGGGCAAGGTTAAAACCAAAGAACCCGGTCAAAGGGTCACCGAGGCCTCTGAAATCAACAGCTCAGGACGATCACTTCACCTCAGGAGGAGGTGCAGCTGGTGGAGCTCTGGCTGCTCTCCTTACACAGTTGTACTGGTTTTCCCAGTGTTATAGCTATCCAACCCTGGGTCAGACCTGCCTCTCCCTGCTGCTGGGTTGTCAAGACTGTCCACAGCCTTTCCCGTACTCCCTTGTTGGGGATTGCTTTCGCACACTTGCCGCAAAGGCCGACTGTGTTGAGGCTCTGAAACAGGATCTCATGGTTCTGGTCACAACAGCGTTGGGTTGAGTTAGAGTGAGACTAGAAAGTTGGGAATATGGTTTACTGTTTCATTTTTGTTTTTGTTTTGGGATAGCAGCTCTCCACACTGATCTCCTGCACTGGTTTAGCATGGACAGCCTTAGGTGAGGCATTATATTCAGTGTAATGACTGTTTTTTTTTATTCTTTGCTTTTGTGGATTCCTTTGGAAAATATTTTGCTCATTAGGAAGAAATCATCTACTCAAAGCGCTGTGTGCTTCACATGGTCTGTGGAGGAGCCAAACGATCATATCATACACCATAAAGTTCCCTGTTATTAATTAGCGTCCACGTAATTTCTTTAGTGCCATGTGATTCATCCTGCTCCAGTCATACTGCTGGCAAAATGAGCCTTAAGAAGGTGCAATTTAAAAAAGAATTTAAATCAAGCCAATTTTTTTTTTCTATTCATGTACTTGTTTATTATTATTGCCAAAATGTTCTATATCTTTTTTTTTTAATTGATATCAGTGAACGGATTTGGTTCTTAGACTGGATGCAGGCATAATTGAAGTGGATGCCATTCCTTTAATGAAATTATGATAATCCTAAATGCAAGTCATAATCACAGTACTGTAATCCAAAAAACATTTTTGTTCTTCAGCAATGGAAAAAAACACGTTGTTTTTTTTCTAGTTCAAATGTAAATACATACATAGAAATTGTATCCTGTCCCAGCATGAAGTATTTTGTTTTTGTTGACTGCTATTGAATTTACTTCTAATGACATTTGTTATCATTTTTATTTTATTTTTGGACAAAGTGTAATCACATGACTAATTTCATTAATGTCATTTTTGCTTAAAGTGCTGGAGTAATCAGGAATCAAGGAGCCTGTTGTTTATTTTGTAAATATAGATCATATAAAAAAAAGGCCTTGTAAAGATTTGACTTTCCACATAATGAACCTATGACAGTGAATACATTATTGGAAAATCATTTTGGTCTCCTACTTTTTCTGTGATATTATTGTAGCCTGCATATATGTAATGAATGGAGTTGGGAAACAGACCTCTGGCCTCAAAAGAGGCTGCGCCCCACATTTTATTTTGATGAACTTATCATCTTAATCATTAGGTTCATGTTAATGTCAACATAACGCAATATACGCAAATGTACCTGTCAAAATCTCTGGGTTCAAGGAAGTATGTGGTGTTAAAATATTGGCTGTACACTGGATTGAAGAAATGATAAAGAGACACAGTCCAACACAGTAGTTTTATTGCTGTCTGCTTGGCCCCATGTTCTGTATGAGTTAGCCACACACGCTGCAGACAGAGGGTTTAAAGGTGTTTCTCCACACCACGTAAAGATGACGGTTGCTCAGTGGTGGCTGCTCTCGTAGCCATTAGGCAGGGGATTAGTGTGAGGATTGTGGAACAGGGTGTGGTTTCCATCCCCCCAGGGAAATTTCTGAAATATTCAGTAATACAAAGTTATATTTGTGGAGTAAATTGTACCAAACAAGTGGGTGTTTCAGCGAATGAGACTCACCTTTGTGCGGACACGCAGGTGATTGTATGGCACAAACTCTGGCTGCTCATGGGAGTGCTCCTGTGACTTTAGGTAAGCATTAAGGCAGCAGACACCAACGCCAGGCAAAGCCAAGGCGAAGGACAGGATCTTCCAGGTCCTTGCTGTGGGAGAGAGCAGGTTAAGGAACAATGCTAAAGCGCTAATGAACACTGCTGTAATGTTCCCAAGTGAAGTAACATATTTAGGTTTATGACTACTGTGTGTCTACTGCAGGGGTCTCAAACACCAGGCCCACGTCAGGCCTTTAGTCCATGAACTACCCACATGTGAGTAAGTGTTGTCTTACTGCCACCTGCTGGTTCTACTAATGGATTATAAGTTTGGCAAAAAAACAGAACAAATACATGAGTCAGTAAATTTAATATGGTTTAGTTTTATTTTAGTACAAACTTGTTCATACTATACCTATAATTTATAAACCATGCATTAGTTCCAAAGAGCACAAACATGCACAGTGTCTGCCAACTCTGCAGACATATCCATTCAGACACAGGTGACAGTAAGCATGTGTACGTGCAGCTGTTGCCCTCAGAAGACCTGACTCTGAAAGCTTTGGTGAGTTTGGGGTTGGATTTGGTTTGACAGGTTCAGTGAAGACACCGACCTCTTTCCCCATGGCTTGAATGTGACGCAGCAGTCAACACACGACGAGCAGCTCCAGCAGCTGACATCTGTGGAGGAGGTTAAAGAAGTCAGGCAAACACTTTCACTTTGGCATATACTCTACTAGTTGACGATATATAGCGAAGACGTACACTTTATTTACTGTATGAAACGTAGTTAAGATCTAAAGAAGCTCAGGTTATTAGTGGTGTTAAAGGAAGCTCTTTGTCTGAAACTCAGATTCTATGCTGAGCTGTGGAGTCCAGGCCCAGGAATAGTGTACTGCATTCAGAGGAAAGGTTACCGTCCTGCAGCTGGAAAGTATACAAAGTCAGGTGTAAACTTACTTTGCTTAAGGCAGGCAATATCTAGATGTTTGTGTTGTCCTCCTAATTTACTGATTTCCAGTCCTCCTTTATGCTTGTTTGTCCTTCAGTTTGTCCTGGACTGAACTCACTGTCTCCTCCCCATTTCAATCTGTCTCTGTGCCAAGGAACGGTTCATATTTGGGCAAGTGCAAAGGCGGGTTGATATGTGTGACGAACGGAGGGAGGCGTGTCCCCGAGTGTGTACTAGAAGGAATAGAGAAAATATCAGATGAATGAAAGACAATAGGGAAATATATTTATTGTGTTTTTCAGGCAGAACCAGTGGCATTCTCTGTTGTCTTTTGTGTAGGGATTTTGCATGCTCTCCTTGTGTGTACCATGGTTTCCTCCCTCTGTCCAAAAACATGTAGGATGAGGTTCATTGCTCACTCTGAATTGGCTCTAACGTTTGAAATGAGTGTGAATGGTTGTCTGTCTCTACATGTGGCCATGCAGTGAAGCAGTGGACTGTCCAGGGTGGCCTTGCCTGATGACCGGTGGGATTGGCTCCAGCTGCCCTCCTCCTCCACCCCC